ACCGTGGATTGCAGGAGCCGTGATGGAGTCCCTCCATCACAGGATTTCAGGCAGAATCGAAATTCGATTCAAAAATCAACTTCTTGACGATGTTTTCAAATTCTTATACTGAGTTCAACAAACTATTCTAGCCGCATATGCCTGTGGCAAGGTCAACGGTAATCGCAGCAATGGGCGCATCGCAGTCGTTCTCGTCCTCTGCAGAAAATGTTGAATGGAACGCCTTGATGCAGGCTGTTGTGGAAGAGATCCTAATTCTTATGCGAGGGATCCTGTCGCTGCTGCGCTATCCGTCATTGCCATGATCATATCAAGCTTGTTCTTTTATTCAGTGGTGTAACGAGGCTCATTCTAATATTCTGTAATGTATTTTGCAGAAATTGACAAAACAGATAATCTTTTTAGTAAAACATAAATTTTATTTTTAGTTTACAGAGATAGATAATTTGGATACAAATCTTAAGTGTAAAAAATTGTCATACATCTACTAGCTGGTAAAACGTTTAGAATAACAATTTTAACAATTTCTTACGTTGCTGAGCAACGGTTGCATGTTACAAATATGGCGTTGCCACTCCTATAATAAATATAGTTCTTTGTTAAATAACAAAATATTACAATTCTCATCCATCCGCTCATCGGGTCACATGCGCTTTACTTGATTTCATTCAACATGTGCAGCAGTTTTCGCAAGGATAGCTCCCCGTCACTGTAAGATAATTTTCTTGCCATGTTAAATTCCGAATTTTGCTTGAAATGACTGTCTTTTTACTTCCTTGTGCGAAGCAAAGGAAATACTGTAATCGCAAAATTTCGGGTATCCTATTACAACTGAAATATCCAGTGTGACCGTACCCGAATACTTTTAAAAGATGTTTTTGCATGACGTCTGTATGTACGGACGTAATAAGGGATCTTTTTTTTTTTTTTCCAAATCAACTTAAAATAGATTCAAAAACGATTTTTTAATGATGTTAGGATTATGTTACTTTTATTAACAGTTAAATTTTGAGTTAAACTTCTTTCCTGTCCAATTCTTTACTTCAACTTACTACTTCAGGCCAGAACATAGTTTTATAATCACGTCTTAATACATAATAAGGAGGAGCGGTATTTAAACCACGAAGTTCTTCGGTCTTAGAGAGAGTTACCAGATATTCTGTCTTAACGCGTCCACCTTTTTTAGGCTTCTCTCTCGTAAGCTATTATTACGGTCGGCCGTACTTAGGCTTTTGATAGCTTCGCAGTCAATTAGCGTTAAGGGGCCAACTCGATTAGAATCTTGATATCTTCGGCTATATCTCTTTAGTTTAGATTTGTTTTAGTTTACTTCTCAGCCTCTTAAGTTCATGCCCAAGTGTCGACTTTTATTGTACACTCCAAGACGGAGTTCTGTTAATCTTATTTAAATAATAAAGGGTTATTTACCCTTCCATCTTGTTGTTTCTTGTCACACGAACTCAAGCGATTATTCGTTTAAGATTCTTCACGTTAAACAGTAACTTAGCATTTACAAAGTGGAGAACTCTATAATGACATCTGTACGTAAGTACGTACCTCACAAAATTCAAAAAGATTAGCCGTAGAGTGTTGAAATTTTCTGTATGGGACTGATAAGACATCTGTGCAGCTCCTTCGTTTTCATTACAATCGGTACTACCAAAAGTACTTAAACACACATACCCCTTTACCCGGCTTAAATGTCTTTACCCGACCTTTATTTGGTCATAGTCACATACTTCCAGTTACAGAAGTGTCTTAAATGGCGAAAATATTCACGTTGTGGGAATGTGAAATTTAAAAATAAATTAATTTTCGACAAGTAACGAAATGTCTCTTTTAATGCGGTCTCCCGTTTCCTACCCTTATGTTTTGGCAATGTTTTACACTCGTTATGAGAAAATAATAATTTAAGAAGTTTGACTCCCTTACGAAGAATATTAACCGGGATATTTGATTTTAAAGTTTGTAATTTTTGATGTCATTTTAATCTTGCCCTGAGGGATCTGTTAACTATCTAATCTGTTGTAGAATAATTCGAGGAAATAAGTTTAAATGAAGTGAATAAAAAAAATGAGTATAATATAATTGGCCGCAAAAAAGAAGTCATGTGGTATCCGCATTAGATTTTTTTATGAGGCATACTGAAGTTTCAAAGCTGAAAATCGCACTACTCCAACTCCATTACTTAGAATCATCTGCTGTTCTCTCTTTTTATGGTACATCTAAGTGGCATTACTGCCTTATCCCCCCCAAAAAAAATTGAAAGGTTTCAGATTTTAAACTACGTCCAAAGGGGCGTTTTTAACATTTTCTGTGTTACCTTTATTTATTAAATACCATGTTCTTTGCACTTAAACCGTAAAATTCAGTTCAGTAGCAATATCGCAAAATAATTTTCAAATGAGCCTATCTTTAGAATTTCCGATACACAGTCTCACGCGATGGAGATAAAAATGCTTTTTTGTACAACGTTGCCATGGCTCGCTTTGAAATCCTTGAGTTTGTTTATCAAAATTTTGTCAAAGTTTTACAAAATATGAAATCGCTAATAAAACAAATTCCAAATTTCAAATTTGATCTTCCACATGCCCATATTCGTAGGAAGATTACGTCATTCAAAATTCGACGGCCCCATGCACCGTTGTTTTATAAAAATGCGAGAAATATACATACATTTACGCAGATTTTTCATTCTTTAATTCTTCGGCGATTCATTCATAGTACAGCATTTTGAATGGCCAACAGTGTATACTGAATGTAGTTTGCTTACTAAATTTCCTGTTCTTGTCAATCACATTCTATTTTAAAACAATCAGAGAAAGCTTCAGAAATAAAATACTTCGTTAATTCTAACAACCATGCTTTTCTAACAACGTTCTTTGTGGTAGACCGCCACTTCAACAACTTTCACACTTCCCTTCTAAGTTTAATGCTTTTACATTGTATTTAAAACGAATTTTTATCTAAGGTCGTTGAAATATCTTAAGCTAATTTTAACGACTTAAAATTTACGAAATTAAACTCTGAATACGATGCTAATACATGAGCTATCGAAATCCAAATGATCATGATTGATAGCAAATTCGTGGAAAACAAGATTGAACTTAGGTACCCACATGAACATTAATTTGTCGTATGTCACTAGTAGTGCATACAGGAAATAAAAAAAAGAATCAGTATTAACAATTTAAGAACACGATAGCATTTAAAGTATACTACGTCACAAACAAGTCTTACGACAAATTTTATTACGCTAGAAAAGCGTAAAATTAATTGTTAAAAATGCTTATTTATTGTTTTCTATAAATGTAATTTTGCTTTTACATATAAAGTTCTAGAACTTGATAATTTCTTGTTTCATTTAGTAAAATATTTTAATCTCATAGAAAATTAAATATTTCAGTAATGGCTATATTACATATTTTATAGGAATGCTTATATTCGTAAATAGTATTACTCTATCAGTGACGATATTTATGTACATTGACAGACACAATGGTAACTTTTTTAAGGCTTTGTCTAACACGTTTGCTCTATTTAGAATCGACAACCAACAAAGGGTTCACTCTATTTAGAATATACGTTTGGTTTGAAAACACTGATCATGATCATTCAAAAATATTAAGTAAAGTAAAATTAAAGCAACTACAGAATATAATTAAAAAAAATAAAATAAATTCTGAAAGCTTCCAGATTTTATATTACGCTCAAAGGGGCGTTTTTTAACATTTTGTGTGTTACCTTTGTTTATTAAATTAATGTTCTTTGCACTTAAACGATAAAATTCAATTCAACAGCAATATCGCAAAATATTTTAAAATGAGCATATCTTTAGAATTTCGGATAAACAGTCTCGCGCTCTGGAAATAAAAATCCGTACAGTGTTGCCATTGCTCGCTTTTGGAATCGTTCAGTTTGCCAATAAAAAATTTGTTATTAAAGTATTACAAAATATGAAATCGATCATAAAACAAATTTCAAATTCCAAATCCGGGCTTCCAGATGCCCAAATTCGGGACTAGACGTTCGTTATTCAAAATTTGATGGCATTAGGTACCGTTGTTTTATCACAATGGAGAAACATACATACCTTCATTATTTAATTTGTTTAAATGTAATACAGAGCGATAATATTTGTTGGCAACAATTTGAAAAGTTAAACAACGCTTATCGTGAATCGACGCAAAATGGCAAAATGAAATTAATAGTTCTGGGCAAATTGCCCCTTTGGAGGAAAAACTTGAAAGCTGTCAGATATTGTATTACCCCAAAGAGGCTTTTTTTTTTAACGTTTCGTGTGTTAACTTAATTTATTAATATTATGTTCTTCGCTCTTAAACCAGATAAAATTCAATTCAACAGCAATATTCCAAAATATTTAAAAACAGCACATCTTTAGAATTTCCAATAAACAGTCTCGCGCGCTGGAGATAAAAATGTTTTTTTCCTGCACAGTGTTATAATTTCTCGCTTTGAAATCGTTGCGTTTGTTTATCAGAAATTTTTACAAATTACGAAATACATAATAAATCAAATTCGGGCTCCCAGGTGGCCATGTTTGGGTAAAGGATTACGTTATTCAGAATTTGATTGCTCTATGTATCGTCACGTTTTCACAATGCTAGAAACATACATACATGCATGTAAATTCTTCATTGTGTAATTTCTTTAAACATAATACAAGGCGATAATATTTGGTGGGAAGCTGAACATTAATTCATTCGTTTATAGCGATTGAACCAGAAATTCCGTTTCAAGAGTAATAGCCCTTCCGAATTAACGTTCCTTTGGGCTAAAATACCGGCGTTTGCATACGTTTTGTTGAAAGTATGCAAGAGACACGTTGAAGAACTGAAGAAAATTTGGCTCTTTACGTGAAAATGCCAAGAGGATGGCGATATGTTTTAGTGGATTTTTTTAGATGGAAGATTAACTTATTCATATTAAAAATCAATTTCGATACATGTAAGAGTTTTTTTCCTTTTTTATTTACGCAGGTTTTGCATGCTGTGTGACAGTACATGCTGGACGTTTCCGCTCTCGAAGCAGCTACAGGACATCTTGGTCAAGAGATTCAGCAACAAGCAGCAGTGGTGCTTCGAGCGACGGAGCACGTGATCTCGAATGGGCTGTCGTTGCTTGCATTTGCTGGTTATCTTACATGGTTAATCATGGTCCTTTCCTCGTAAGTTATTTCTCTCATTGAAACTATTTTATAATTTTATGTGCATTAAATAAAGCTACGTGGTCCTTGAATTTCTAAATTATTGCTTCAAAGTAACCATCATATCTGAAAGATAGTGTAACCTTTGTTTTCATTTGAAAATTTTGAAAGATAAAAACATATTGTAGCATGTATGTGTTTTTAATAGATTGAATGCACACAGAACAAATTGCAGCTTGATGAAAATTATTTTCCAGAAAGGAACACTTTACTTTTCTGGAACTTTCCACAAAAATACTAATATGACTCTTCTCAGTATCACATAGCATAATAAGAAGCTGCATTTCAAACTACTTAGAAAATGTTAAACACAAAGCAATGCAAAGCGCATCTAGAAAGGCGAACCTTTTCCGGAGAACTCTCAGTACTCCAAACTCACGCTGAACTAAACAACTCTGAAACTATGTATCAGGTATCATCACTTTACTGCTGGCATACAACTTCTAAGAGCTTTGACCAGTATATAAATAATTGTATCACATTAACATTTGCTTTCAAAAATAAGATGCACTATTTATAAAGTGCATCATCGCACAGAGGCGTTAATACAAAATGAAAAATGATAAGTTTAAATACACAAAGTAAATTGTAGGGTTTATATTTATTTTAACTAACATTTATTTTAAGTTTAAACTATCTTTCCTGTCAAGCCTTACTTTCCCCTGGAACTGCCAATGTCAGAATATGTAAATTTTAGTAGAACACGCAAGGATTCAAATTATCAGCGGAAGTATTATGATTTAAATAGCAAGGAAACGAGTTCGGTGTGTGATATTCTTACTTAGCGAGCGCGGAGGTAGTTAGCGAGAATTTGAAGGACCCCGCGTTTCGGCCTATGTGCTTGGCGGGGAAGTAGTGTTAATCGTTCAAGTGAGCTTCAAGTCTGCTGAATTAGCAGCGGTATTGTAAAACGCGGTGAGTTAGTTATTTTAGAGAGCCTCGTAGTTAGAGTCTTGTCTTTAGTTTCTTTTCAGGTTATTATTTTTATTTGACCGCCAAGTAGGCGCAGTCTGTGAGCGTCAAGAGCACACAATTGTAATTTATTACGTTGAATAAAAAGGGACTTAAACCCTTCACAAGATTCTGTATTTTATCCAGTTGTCACAGTCACCCTCTTGGTTGCGTGCAAGTTGGAGGCGCGCAACGTTACAAAATATTAAAAGATAAAATAAAAAGTCCTTTCAAAAGAGATGATGATGAGGATAAAATACCGCAGTTGAAGCGAATTAAGTTGTCACCATAAAGTTAATAGACTAGAAATTTAAACTAACGTTTGAAAAATAGTCTACTGCAGAAATTCCTACTTTAGGTTTATTCATAATAAATAGATTTGGCAGCTTTGAATTTCGCAAAGAATTCTTTAAATTTCTGTAAATGAATTTTTACCCATTCAAAAAAGGATAATTCATTTTCTTTGATGACTTACTGGGTTTTCTTTCTAAACCAGGCTGAAGCTTTTTCACAGCAATTTTGTTCTTTGGTGTTTGGTAGAGAAGGGAATTCTTCGTTTGATAATGTAAAATTATTTTGGTTTCCTGATCTTAAGAATTCTTTTTGGTTTCTTGCAGCTTCAGTAGCTTTTTGCACAACCTTTGTAGGATGAAACGTGTGCTTCGCCACATAAGGCACAGGTAGCAGGTTTATTATCTTCTTTCATTTCCGTACATGTATACGTTTCGTGAATTGTGCCCATGTTAGGCATCTAGGTTTGTAGTGACAGCTCTTATATTGTTTTTCCCGGCCGCCGAGAAATCTCTAATGCCTTGCATTTCTTGAAATTACTCGAAGGCATATGAGGGCATGACAAGGTTACAATTGCACATTTAGATTAATTACATTTGTTCAATCACAATACCATTTGCAATTATACATAGAGGGGACAAAAATGTCTCCAAATGGTTGCTAAGTTTGCCAATTTTTGGCAATTTCACGCCAAATTTGAGGACGAATGTTGGCCGCCAAAACCGTCACCAGCTTGGTGATATCTCGCTAATTTAGTGATATAGCCATTTACTCAATGTTAAATAGACTTGTCAATGTATTATTACTTTTGAGCATAGCTTCGCATCTTTAGATTAAAAAAAAACTACGGTATTACATATAATTTTACTAATATTATTTACATATGTATTAAATTTGTAACAATATTAATGAATGCCTAAAAAATAAAGAGAGAGAAAAAAATAAAACGAAAATCGATGGATGTAATTTTTTTTTATTCTTTACGCCCTAAAAAATTGATATGGGTCTAAAATGTTGACCAAACATTTTTCAACAATGCACATTTGTGAGTTCAAAGTATGTGTTACTTTGATAGCATGATAAAGGATAAATGTTCTCTCACTCTCGAAACAAAAGGTTTGGGACATCCATTCCATTTTACAATGAGAAATTAATCAACGGTCTTCACAATAGCAACGAAGATTAGTAATCTCACGATGGTATCTAGCAATTACTTAGCCATGGAAAAGTGGAAAGGTTTTGTTTTGTTATGACCTGATTTCGCCACGCAAAAAGAGCAGTTTTGGTGATATCAGATAGACGGTTTTCTTAGGAAGAAGTTTTCTAACATATTGTTACGCAATAGCCGATTAGGTTTAAGTTCTTGGGAAGTTGACCTAAGGAACCTTTGAATACCAGGATTAGCAGCAAAACCCATCATTACGAAACCCTCACTTAACTCATAAGTTCAATTATAATCTCAAAATAAGATTTTGTTTTTTTTTCTGCTTGTAGTATTAACTGAAAATTATAAATATTTTTCTAATTTAGAATAAACCAATAATTTAGAACAACCAATACGTTTAGTATTGGTTGTTCTAAATTATTGGTTTATTCTAAATAAACCAATACGTTTAGTATTGGTTGTTCTAAATTATTGGTAACTAAACGCCTAATAGGCGTTTACAATAGGCCTAGGCGTTTAGTTTACATTTAGGACAACACATATCGTTAATAGTCCACTAAATTGCGGCATTTGAAGGCACCTGGTATTAGCGCTCAAACTTCACTTTTTGCCATTTGTTTCTTACAGAAATGGCTGCTAGAAAGCATTCAGCGATTATCTTGATTATTTAATTAAATTGTTGAATTATTAATTAGATTTATTGTATCTGGTGCAAAAACTGGAAGTTTAACTTGACTTGAATCCTGTTTTGAAGTCTATCATACTAAACTGCATTTCTAAGGTATTTTACACTCAGCGCTTTATATTTTCTTAAATTTTATACATTTTAATTTTTTATATTATGCAATAAATAGAAATTAACTGTAATTAGACTAAAATTTATTTTTTAAAAAAGATTTTTTTGGTGATAACATCTGAAATTGGTTTTTCTGGCAACTTAGTTTCTCATGATAAAAATCTATATAAAAAATATTTTCTAGAAAGAAAAAGTGCATTTTTCAATTGTCCAATATATATAAATTTAAAATATGATAAAAAAAAAAAAAAAAAAAAAAAAAAAGAGGAAGAAGAAAACACTACACAATTTTGGAAGCGATTTCGGTCCGCAAATTGAGCCGTCAGAGAGTTAAAAGGGGGAGTATATAAGGTATTTCTCTCCCGCTTTCTTAGCATACCTTCATGGTGTAGTGGTCAGCACACTCGGTGCGTATTCGAGAGGTCCGTGGTTCGAATCCCTGCGAGGGCATTGCTCATTTTTCACTTTTGGTCTTTGAAATAACCTAATGTATCTATATTAAAGTGACTGATTTCTTTTATTATTTCTTTTAATAGTCTTTTAGTCTTATTTGGTAACTCTTTTAAGCTTTATGCAGTGAAAAGCCTCTGAAGGTTATTCTCAAGTTTTGATGACGGCTGTATAGTTTATATTTTAAGATATTTCTTTATTTCGAATTAAGTGCTCCATACTTTATTACTATTGCGTTTCATGTTTCAAAAATTGAAACATTCATTCATATGTGATACTCTCGAAAAGCTTCATGTAACCAAAAGTGTGTGGGTGCAGTGCAGGGCCTGAAAAATCTATCGTTATATGCATACATGATGAGATTTTTACAGTACCCAGTTTTGGAGTAATTATTTTTAGTGGAAAATTTAAATTAATTAAACCGTCTTCGAAAAATTTAGGACACAATGTTTTAAATTACCTTACTATACATGCAAATTTGCTGAATGCAAAATACTGATCATCATACTGCTTCTGTTGAAAATAATTTTGGTGACTAAAACAGTAGAAGTCAGAGAAATTAGAATTTGTTATTTAAAAGTAAATCTTCTGAATTTAATCTAATCGAAAATAAGGTGTGTTATAAAATGCTTTAAAGGACGAACTTGCTATCAAATAGGAACTATTTTTATGGGGTTATTAGTTGATTACTTTTTATATAATGTGTGAGTTATTCCATGCTATATTTCAATTTCAATTTAAAAAATAAATAAATAATTAATTAGAACAAAAGGATTTTTCCCTTTTCTTTCTTTAATGTTGCTGTTAAAAATTTCTTTTATCTGATAATGGTCAGCACAAGCCCACGACATGAGCCAAATGCGCGTGTCGTGAGAAAGATCCTTGAGCATCATAAATATAACAGCCCGAGGTCTAACGGTCTCATACTCTTCTTTCCCTACAACCAACCTCTTGAAAAGACTTTCGGCTCGCTGCATATTTATAATGCCCCATGTCGCACAGACGATTTGCAAACAAAAATGTCTTCTCCGGGATTCGAAGCCGGACCCTTCGGTACGACAGTCAGAATCACTAACCATTACCTTGGTTGAGCGGCTTTCTTTTTTTTTTTTTATTAAAAGCGGAAAACAGATTGCATTCATATTATCCCTTTGTGCGTGCTTGCATGAAAGTAAACATTTTGTAGAGACATTAAGTATACTTTTGGAAGCAGGAAAGATGAAAAATTAACAAAGCCTTCACCGGGAATCAAACCGCGGACCTCTGGATACCGGCCCAGTGTGCAGAACCACTACACTACGAAGGCAC